TGGTCGATCAAATCGAGGTATTCTCCGCGGCTTTTCAGCTCGTTCTTCGTCTTGTTTGTCTCTTGATAGCTTTGGTACTGGAAGGAAGGTTCTAAATCTGTTTGACGAGCCTGCTCTGAAATTGCGTATAAGCAGTTTTAGCGGTAAGCACGGCAAAAAAGCAAGGGGGAAACTCACGATAGATGCTTGAAAGCAGATATGTCATCATCATTGGCATTGTCTGTCTCAGCTTCATGTTGGGTCTGTTCTATAGGGCTTTGCGAATCTGAGACCGGCTCTTGCCGCGCACCAAAGTAACCCTCGCCGAATGGCTCGGTGACATGTATTCGAGGAGAAAGGGATGCCATAAAACTCCGACTTTCTCTCAGCGGTGGCCTTGACATAATAGGCTCAGATCTAGTCCTTTCAGTCATCCGTGCTGCAGTGGGATTCACAGTGCCATCAATTGACGATCGGACGTGCGCAGACGTGGGCCTACTATCGAAGCTGCTAATTGAAGAATCATCGAGAAGGCCAGCAGGAATACCACTTGTTTTTTGAAGTCGATCCTTGAGGCACGTCGATGGTCCAGATGCGAGATAGTCCTTCAGTGGTGCTTTTGTGGACCAAAGCTTGAGCGGTGTTTCGTCGCTGACGCCTCGAGCCGTGTCTTCAAAGAATCCACTGACCTGAATCATGACTTCCTGGTCCACATCCATGGGGGCATCGTTCATCTTAGACAGCATCACAGCCATAGAAATAGCTGACTGGAGCTCATTGATGAAGTTCAACCTTGTCGTTAGCTCTTGACCCCTGAAACAAGCGGTTCCAATATGATCGGCCGTCAAAGGAATGACCTTCTCGTGCTCAAAGTCCAATATCCCTGACCGAATCGAGGTAATGGGAACGTGCATTTCGACAGCAGTCCCTGTCTCGTGGTCAACGATGCTGATTTCGGAGTCAAGCGTCTCCAGAAAAGACCACAGCTTCATGTCTGCTGAGATAGACTTGAATTGACTCCAAAGGCGTATCAAATGGGGATGTCTTGGCCTGAAGATCTCTTGCATTCCGGGCGGAATATGGTGCTTCAGTCGCATCAGGTGGTGAACGCTGTTGGTGAATTCGGGTGCTGAGAGGTAGCTCGAGCCGAAATGTGGACTGGCCAAAAAGGCAATCCCATAACAACTTGACCATATTGATTCAATATTGGATGCTTTCTGACTCGCCGCGACAAGCGCTGATTTAGCAACCAGGCCACCAGTGCTATGGCAGATGAAAAAGATAGGCCGCCGTGAGCTCTGGACATAGATAATCAGATCAGCTTCAATGTAGCCATCGAAGAAAGAGATACAGAATTCATACTGTCGCCTGGCGTTTCTGAAGTACTTGATTTAGCAACTTGTCCGCCAGGGATTCCAAGTCATCCTGCGGCCCCAATCTCCCATGATCAATTAGTATCACACGGGCGTTTTGAATGTGTTTCGTCAGTTCGGAGTGAAGCCAAGGCGTGGCTGCCCCCTCATCGCTCCACGTCTTCTCTGGATCTGCGCCAATTGCTGGAACGGCGACAATACTAATTTCGTATTGATGTGTGAGAATGACCTGCCTCGCGTATTGTGGAAACAGGGAAGACCGATGCTTGCTTACTCGACTGTTGTCTCGACTTGTGAACGCCGCTCATCGTTGGGAACTGCCATGATGCACTTCCCTTCTGGAAACACTGAAGGGTGGAGACATTGTGAAGCGCGAAGGAAGGATGCCTGCCGACCAGAGGGGGAATGAGGTCTTAAAAGCAGACGGAGCGACAATCACCATCATCTGACACAATGTTGACTCCTCCGGGGCAGGTGACTTGGCCCGGCTGAGTCCAAGAACTCACTAAGTGAACTATTCTATCAGCCTTGTCGTGCCCCTCAGCCTTATGACCAAATCCGGAACCCAACGAACTCCGAGACGAATATCGACAATAATACAGAGAATCATCGGCGCAGACTGATTCACGAAGTTTATCTCTAGTAAATTCCCAAAATCTCCAACAACGTGTCTGCGGAATTACACTATACCTATAAAGCAATATTTGAGAATAATAAACATATACGAGTCCACAACTGAATCGTTCTGACGAGGTTCTACAGTACTTGATCGGACACAGGGATTTTGAACGATTAAAGTATAATTGACGCAGTTACCACGACAGAGCTAACGGCCGTGGTGTTACACATAAAATACATGGTATGGTACACAGGACTCCGTGAGAACTTTTGTGTCCAAGATAGCGGAGTGGAGATGGTATGAGTATGGCATCCGATCCCAGTGGAGAAGAAAAGGAGGAAAAGGAGGATAGGATCGGATGTAAGATAGGAAGGAGGATTTAGACAAGACATGCGACACATTAAGAAAAAGAAAAGAAACAGAAACCATATATCAGGATATAACCCGGACTATGCAACAACACGCTTGAAGGAGAAACCTTTCAGAAACAAGGACGTAAGGTTTAAGGGTAGATAGGAGACGAGGATGGGGTAGCAGAAGCGGCAGAAGCAGCTTAGAACATGCCACCGCCCATACCGCCCATGCCGCCCATGCCACCCATGCCACCACCAGGGGCAGCAGGGCCCTTCTCCTCAGGGGCCTCAACAATGGCGACCTCGGTGGTACCGAGGAGGGAGGCAACACCGCTGGCGTCAACCAGGGAGGTGCGGACAACCTTGAGGGGGTCGACGATACCGGTGGCAATCATGTCGACGTACTCGCCCTTGGAGCTGTCGAAACCGCGGTTGAAGTCACCAGCGAACTCATCGGTGAGCTTGCCAACGATAACGCTGCCCTCGAGACCGGCGTTCTCGACAATGGTGCGAGCAGGGCGGGTGATGGCGTTCTTGATGATGCTGACACCGAGCTGCTGGTCGAAGTTGGCGGTCTTGACGTTGCCAAGGCCGTTGGCGGAGGCCTTGAGGAGAGCGGTACCACCGCCGGGGAGGATACCCTGCTCAACGGCGGCGCGGGTGGCGTTCAGGGCATCGACGACACGGTCCTTCTTCTCACCAACCTCAACCTCGGAGGCACCACCGACCTTGATGACGGCAACACCACCGGAGAGCTTGGCAAGACGCTCCTGAAGCTTCTCCTTCTCGTACTCAGAGGTACCGGGGTCGGCCATGACGCCACGGATCTGCTCGCAGCGCTGAGCGATGCTGTCCTTGCTACCCTCACCGTTGAGGATGATGGTGTCCTCCTTGGTGATGGTGATGGAGCCAGTGGATCCGAGCATGTCAGGGGTGAGCTTCTCAAGCTTGATGTCGAGCTCGTCAGTGAAGACGGTACCGTTGGTGAGGACGGCCAAGTCACCGAGGATGCTCTTGCGGTTGTCACCGAAGCCGGGAGCCTTGACGGCAGCAACCTGGAGCTGACCACGGAGCTTGTTAAGAATGCAGACGGCAAGAGCCTCGCCCTCAATGTCCTCAGCGATAATGACGAGGGGACGGCGGAGGGTGGTGGAGGCCTCAAGGGCAGGGATGATGTCCTGGACAGCGGAAATCTTCTTCTCGGAGAGCAGGATCAAGGGCTTCTCGAACTCGACCTTCTGGGCCTTGGTGTCGGTGATGAAGTAGGGGGAGGTGAAACCGCGGTCGAAGCGCATACCCTCGGTGATCTCAAGCTCGTCCTCAAGAGTCTTGCCCTCCTTGACGGTGATGACACCCTCCTTGCCAACACGCTCCATAGCGGTGGAGATGAGCTTACCGACGTGGGTGTCACCGTTGGCGGAGATGGTAGCGACCTGGGCGATCTCCTCACCAGTGGTGATGTCACGCTTGTTCTGCTGGAGGTAGTCGACGACGGCCTCGACGGCAGCCTGGATACCGCGGCGGAGATCCATGGGGTTGCAGCCAGCGGCAACGTTCTTGACGGTCTCGGAGAAGATAGCACGGGCGAGAACGGTGGCGGTGGTGGTACCGTCACCAGCAAGCTCGTTGGTCTTGGAGGCAACATCCTGAAGGAGGCGGGCACCGAGGTTCTCGAACTTGTCCTGAAGGGTGATGGCCTTGGCGACACTCACACCGTCTACACACGTTAGTACGGGGATGGTCTCCTTTGATGGAAAGTGAGAATGTAGGGCGATGGCTTACCCTTGGTGATCTTGGGAGAGCCGTAGGGAGACTCAATCAGGACATTGCGACCCTTAGGACCAAGAGTGGAGGTGACAGCCTTGGCAAGAGTGTCGACACCCTTGAGGAGCTGGGCACGAGCCTCAACGCCGAACTTGAGCTCCTACACGAAGTTAGCAAGGCTGCGGATTGACTCATCGGCATACCCGGATCGGCATCTTGCTGAGGCGAGAGGAGCATACCTTGTGGGCAAAACGCTGCTGTTGCAGGTTAACACCGGAGGATCTGTAGAGGGGAGCGCGCTTAGAAGCAGCGGAAAGGACAGAAGTCCTGGAACCGAGAGCTCTCTGCATCTTGAGGAAGGGGGTGAATTAATAGAGAGAAAACAGACAGAAGAAGATAATGAGGTCAATCAAACAGAGTCAGCCCAGTCGGAACTCTCAGAGCAAGGACGGGTAATGAGGGAGAAGAGGTAGAGAAGAAAAGAGGAGGATGGGGAGAGATGAAAAAAGATGGAGATGAAGCCAAAGTCTCGAAAATTTTCCAGGCGGTTCTCGATCCCCGGATTGTCTTGGCTGGCAGAAGCTCCTAGAAGATCACGTGGCCACCGGGTATCCGAGGGAAATCGCCCGGCTCGTCGGATGTCACTGGCAGAACACTTGCCCGATGATCGGCTCTTGCTTACAAACGTACTAGTCACTGTGGACTCGATCTACAAAAGAACTACCTATCGTATTGGAACATGCTGTCTTTTATTCATCAATAGCCAGTGATGTTCTTGGTAGCATTATTAAAACAGAGCCATTACCAACGTCAGAATCGTCGCCTGGGACTAAAGCTCGGAAAGAAGAAAGAAAAAAAAGAATGCCCAGCTATCAGTGAAAGATGACTGGTAGAGAATAAGAAAAAACGAGGATCATTGCCAGAGACGAGCATGAAAAAATGTTGAGCTGTGCCTGGTTGTACGATAAGAAAGACACCAAGTCATTGAAGTCTCGCTACAAAAGGAGACATTGAAGTGCTGGTATGTCAAGAGCGTCATCCGGAGTGACAACAACTAGCCTACCAAATCATCGTCAAAGCCAAGCAAATGATCGAATTGCTGGTCTGTGTTACTCATATGGTTTCCAGAGAAATCGATATCCAGATCAGGATTGGAAAGCCCGTGGTAAACAGCATTGGGATATCCAAGAGTAGCGTCGTTGAACCAGAGGGTTGAGGGATGGTGTCCAGAATCACCAGGCTGTAAGTGCATATAGCTGTCCGCCGAGGACACAGCGTTCTGATAGAAAGTTTCAGATAGGTTGGCTGAGGGGGCTTGGCTCTGAATTGGTAACTGACTAGCCCCTGCAGGTTGCTGTTGCAATGTATAGCCCGATGCAATGAAAGCATCATTAGACGTCGAACCCAAGACAGGCTCCGAGATGTCACCAGTAGAAGCTTGATTGGTAGGTTTTGCATACTTGAGTACGATTATCTTCCTGGGTTGGTTATCTTTCGGGCCCCCCACCTGACGCTCGGGGGGTGAGCTCATGCTATTCGGGCAATCAAGAAACTCCGCGCCAGGGACCAAGAGACTGTCGTCTTCATCTTCTTCATCCGAGTCATACCCATCAGTGTCGCGTTCTAATTTGACAATGGGCTTGCGCTTACGTCGGGCCCGTGAGCCGGCCGTGTTGGTTTTTTTCTTGCGTGCCTTGGATGCTCTTCCCTCCACATAGTCTTCATCCGAAGATGAGTCTACGTCCGCGAGATCACTTGCTCCCGTCTCACCATTGTCCTTCGCTCCTGTGGTGACTCGCTGAGGCTTGCTGTCTGGCGTATTCTTGCCTGATGTCGCTTCAGTTGGTTTGCTCGGGGCACCAAGGCCGCCACGTCGCAGGGGCGGAGGCACAGGTTTGCCAGCAGCAACCCTACGGCTGCGAAGCTTTGCCAAGTGCTGGATGATAGCTCCCTCGGTGACATTGTGTCCCATGGTGCTGGCAACCTCGGTCCATGGAATCTTCACGGACTGGATGTTACAAACAGATTGTACAGTCAGGAGAAGAAGCTCGTTCAGGTTTTCTTCAATTGTTAGCTTATGGGTTGACAAGAAAATGAGTGTCGAAGGCAGAGAGAAAAAGGTATATATACCATCCCATCGTACCAGAACGCGTTTTTTTGGCCTGTTCGACGACTTGCGAGAGGAGCTCATTGTACCCTGTGCGAGCTCTCAATATACGCCTCATTCAAGGTCACAGATAGCACTTGAAAGCCAACCAGAGAACCAATACCGTTATCTAGATCCAATCAGAACCTGCCTGGGCTTTTCTCGCCGATTGATTTCTGCGTGAGAATCACGTCAGTTAGCCCTCATATAATGAGATGCATGTAAAGGATAAGAAGTTATCGGTTGCGCGTCTGGAGAGAGAGAGAGAGAGGGAGAGAGAGATGTATTTTGCAGATTAGAAGTAGTCGATAGGACTCACTTACCAATGTAGAGTCTGCAGATTTGAAATTAAGGAAGAGAGTGATATGAAAGAAGACAAAGAAGTAAGGTGAGCTTAGGTGAGTGAAAGCTCACTCATGAAACAGACAGGACCTGACCACAGATTACATGTTGAGCAAACGCACAACGATTGGAGCAGTGGTTAATATCAAAAAGTTTCCAGGGGAACACACTGCTCAATTTTTCAGGACCCGCGTCTAAGACCCGCGTCTCATCTGATAACAACGATCTAATCACAATCTGTGATATTCCGTTTGTAAGCTCGTCTCGGCGATCCCAATGGAAGGTTATTCTTTTATGTAAGTGACCGGAGTGTTAAGGCTAATCTGGATGATACCCATCTACGCAAGTCCACGATTCCTGATGAGGTGACTGGGCTGCAGTGCAGTTCCCTAGTAACACATCAGTTCAAGATAATAGCTACGATAACAGGCTCTACCCCGGTGCAACCTCCTCAGGCTTATTACATCCGGGTTTCGAGGAGCCAATCAACACGAGAGATGCTAGGTTTCCAAGCTTCTACCTTATTCCAAGCATCTCAATTATGTTGGCTGGCTCAAAAATTACATACCAAGAAAGACCATGAGGCTGCATGTTCTTTGCTCTTAGCCCAGCCTGACTGTGTATAGTGTTACCCGATTTGGAAGTATACATTCACTCCAGTCCGGTCCACCCGCCCGTGAGTGTCATCCGGGATACGGTCAGGTGACGAGAAATGTCACGTGAGTCACATGACCCGAGTTCCCGATCCTCCGAACTCGACCGTCTGCAAAGCATCACAGAGAAAGCGATACCCTCTCCTTAAACCGAATCCCCTCATTCGTCTTCTACCGTCAAAATGGCATTCGCCTGGAAGTCCGCTGGTCTCACGTACGTTTCTAGTCACTCTACGTCCGCTTGCTCTCCCGACCATAGGCCCTGACTAACGCGATGACCGACTTTTACAGCTACAACCGCTACCTGGCCGTCGCCGCTCGCGCCGTCCGCCGCTCCCTCAAGGACGGTCCTCGTGCTGCCGCTGAGCGCCGTGGTCAGATGGACCTGCGTTTCGCTAAGTGGGAGGTTCGTATCTGGACACCCTTCCGGTGGTTATCGGAGGTCAATGGCACAAGCATCCCGACTAACACACTCTTCAATCCAGAACGGCAAGCAGGGTGAAGTCAAGAACCTTGCTCAGGTCCAGGCCACCGCCGGCCAGGCTGAGTCGAAATAAATTATCTCTCCGCAAGAACAACTGTCTGAATACAAAGAATGAGCGCTGGGCAGAGGTTGATGAGGTCTCGGGAGGTACTCTGATGCAGGAATGGACTGGATCTCTGTAGCAATATTGGCCCGTTGACCAGGTATAAATAGAAAAGACTGTGTCCCTCCTGCTTTCATGGTTGATCAAAGTAAATTGCCTGTTGTGCTAAACGTAATGCTCGGGGGTCGTTTTTGTGGCATGGTCTTAAGAGCTCCTTCGGAACTCCTTCCTGCTCAACCGGTGCGGGCTTGCGTTCCCGCAAGTTTTGCCCTGTCCGCCCGACTCCCCGCCTCCCCTCGCCCGCTCTCCAGCATCCTCTCCGATCTCCACTGAAATCACTGAACCAACTATCCATGACCGGCTTCGGAAGTCTAGCAGCTGGCTGCAGATGATTGCTTACTTCCATGCTGCCAAATAACGAAGTAAGAGGCCCGACAATGCGGGTCGTTCCAGAGTCTGTTGTCCCGCGCGACATCACAGATGACTTCACAATCGCTGCTTCAAGTTAGCATCTCATCCCCGCTGGCCTTGCTTTTAAATCCTATACGTGGTGTACTGACGACTTTATCCCTTCTAAAATAGAACTTCGAACCGGTCAGCTGGTTAAAGATGAATGCTTTACGCTCTTCGAGGCCGTTGGCGCCCTTGAGGTTGGTTGCGACTCGATACTCAGCCATGCTGATAGTCTCGAACCCCAAACATCAAGACTGATATACTGTGGCTCCTCAGATCATGGACTCGAAGATGGATAGTGGCTACTTGGGCCCCGGAGAGAATCACGCACAGGCCCTTGAAGACGACTTCGACTTGATGCGGGAGCTGGCTCCGGAAGAGGTTCTGGGGATTATGGACGAGTTGTTGTGTCACGAGGTAGGTTTGACCTGGTCGTCTTACTCAAGGTGCAGCACGCGAACTAACCGAGTCAACGTAATGGCAGATGGCATGGCACATGGGTCACCCCCTTTCCCAGACCCTTTTCACTTCTTTATACCTCGATAGGCTGCTATGGCCCGTACCGAAAACCCTCGAAAACGCGCATTTTGGCCGGGGACAGTCGCAAAGCAACAAGAAGGTTCCTGATATAGTGCATGTTGTCCTGCGTGCTTACTGCCTCGCGCTTGTGAAGTGTTGCGATTTTGTACATGCGCGAGTCACCACTGAGTACTATTTTGAGGTAGGTGTTGCCGTGCTCTGCTGGTTGGACATGGATCTGACTCATAGTTCGCTTTCCTTCAAGGAGGAGGACTTCGTCACTCAATTGTATAATCGCACTCTACTATCACAATTCGACTCCAAAAATTTTCATGATCTTTTGGACCACGCGATTCGCTGGGTTGACGAACACACGGATACGCTCGGTGAGAAGGTGGCGGAAGCCATTCGGGCTCGCTTGCTCTTCCGACGAGAGTTTCTCTGGGGACTGGAGCAGGATGTGGAAGTGATAGAGACACGATCGACAGCGCAGTTTCTGAGCTGTCTATCTCATCTGGACTTTCTAGGCAAGTCAGCTGTCCTAGGGAAAGAGGTGCCTGAATCCTTCAGTTGCAAAATCCAACGGAAGCTGGCTAGCACTGTTCCTCCTCGTCCAATGGTCAAGATTAGCTTTGAGGATGCGCTGGCGCATTTGAGAAGATTATGCCAGGATGCTGTTGATTTGCTCGAGATTCTTGACTACCGAGGGCCGTATAATTTGAAGGTGCGGAGAATTTGTTTCATTCTGATCGTAGTTGATGCTAACCTGCTTAGGTGGTCATCTGGACTCTGCTTTCGCGAAAGCCTCAGCCTTCCGTCTATATAAGATCTCTTGTTCAGTCCCTTATCGTCAGCAACAGGACGATACTTGGAGCGGTTCCCGTGAAGCAGTTCCTCTATGACGAACTGGAACAGATCGTTCTTCCGTCTAGTATACTTCTGCAAGCCAGTGCGGATGAGATCGAAGTGCCTTCGGATCCACGATTCCAGATAGCGCAGCACATGGATGTCTTCACGAAACGTTTCTCCCAGGTAAGTAAGCTGCAAAATGCATCTATCATGACCAGCGATTGAGCTAACCTGGTGCAGCCGTTTGTTGATACGTTCCGGAGTGCCTGCTTGAACCGCTGTCGTATCCGACGGACTGTCTGTCATACACTTGTAGACTGGGACAATTTGCAGATGGAAGTGAGTTCCCACTTTTCCCTTGTCGCGGCGGCTGGAGCCTAATCTCGTTCCTAGGCCGAAGATCTTGACGAGCAGCTTCGCACATTGAGCAATGAGCCCCCTTTGCAGCTAGCCAATGGCGATACCACTTACTCCTACCCCCTCAGCAGCTGGGCGTATCATCATAAATTGAGCCAATTCCGTCTGATCTTACAGCTCGGATTCGAGCTCTCTATTTACGCGCCTGAAGAGCTACCTGGCATGTATTGGTACCTGTCCCACATTTGCTCTACCCACCTCGGTCACATCGATCGAATCAGGACCTTTACTGTGGCCACGGCGAAACGCAATTTGGCGGATCTGGCGGCTAAGCAGCGCGATGCCATCGAGCGCCATACCATCCTCCAGCGGTCTATTCAACTTCTTGAGAGGATGACTACACAGATTGTTGCTGTGGATGCATTTGCCATTTCTTTGCACGCGCTATACGTTCTTCTCGCTCGCCATCGAGTCCTGCCAACCACTTCTTCACCCCAGGCCTACTCCAGCGACCGGTTAAGGTACGAGATCCGCATGAAGCCCTTCCTCCAGATCACCTTACCGGAGCTGGTTCCTTACGACGAGTACCATCGGGAGGCGGTACTAGAAGGTGACAGCGATGATATCGTCTTAGAGCGTGCCGCTAAAGCCATTTCGGAAGCACGAAAGGCTTGGGAAGCCACGCTGGCCAACGGTGCATTCATGCGCGATTCCGATGAGAGGGATAGTCCCGCTCTCGCCATCGAGGAAGACTGGAAGCGAGACATTAAAGATACCATGCGGGCCTGTATCGGTGCCAGTATCGCGATCGAAACCGTCAAAAAGGCCTTGAAAGCACAAGCGGATTCGAGAAAACGCGAAGAACCCCAGGCGCCCCAGTCGGTTAATCTTCGGGTCACAATCCCGGAAGTCGGATCCAAAGCCCGCTGGCATGACTGGTGGGTTGTACCGCAGGTCTCCCCAGCGACCACGTCGGGGGCTTCCAAGACATGACGGAACCGCACCTACTACCAGGATGGTCCTTGTCAGCCATGCGTCCCGACAGGCTCAATCTGCTTGATCTGAACCCCACTCCGCAGGGTTCAGACCGTCTCCTTAGGCCGAAGGGATGTGAATGGACAGGCGTTTTCTGTTGATCTATCCATTTCTTTGTCTCGACTTCCCTACAAACTGACCTATAAATCTCAACCCGGGGCCAAACATCACGGGCACGCCAATGAGCGAACAGTTGTCGAGCTTATCCTTCGCTTCACGGTCTCGGACAAGCTTTATGTGGAGGCTTTTGATGCATCATGAAGTCATGCAATTAGCAGTCAAATTAAGCATAATGTGCAAGCGTGGGGTGTTGAGCAAGAGCCGGTGGGATTGCAACGACCATAGAACTTTTCTTTTCTCCAAACTAAATTGGAATAGAAATACCACGAATTCTCTCCAGAGCACGATCAACATTGTTTTTGCATTTGTACTCACTATTGTGATCCACCATCTACTCGTACGCATCAACGGATGGGCGAGGCAACCAACATTGTTACCCACTTGGTACCTCGGATCAGACCACGTCGGGGGTCAGCTGATCTGCCCTTACTTTCTCTTCTCTCCCCCAGGCTAGCACCGTGTCTGTCCAACTTAGCTTCTGATCTCGAACAACCTTCGACCATCCCGAATAATCTTTCACCCCTGGAGAACCGAAACCTGGCTGTCGGAACGAACCCGATCAGCGACCATGACCCCGCTGACACAACCTTATGCTTAAGTGAGCTTACCTGTAGCCACGAGCTAACTTAAGTGACCTATGGTTCAATTACTAAGAAATCAATAAGTTACTCGCTTATGCTTGGTTTTTTTGTTGGGACGATCTTAACAGTGAGATGAATATAGGATCCCGCGCCTGGTCCATGCTTATGCGATATTGATGTGGGGGGGGGGGGAAAGGAGAAATCATGCAAGGCAACTACACATGTAGGTTGGTAGCGGCCGGCAGTGGCTATTAAGCCTGGAGGTACGTAGTAAATACTTTCCCTGACAGCTTCAATCCAATCTCATTCGTTGGACAAAAAAGCCGATGTCAGGACAAGAGATTTCAAGTCAGACTGTAGCCTCGAAGAAACAGTAGAAGACAGAGGATATGAGATATCGCATGCATTCCAGATCAATGTGCAGAAGAATATCAACACTATCAACACTAGTTGGGATACTAAAACCACGCCATCTCGGATGGGCGAGATGGGGGAATGGCTGGGTCGCCGCTAAACCCGAAATCGACCAACCAACCCGGGCAGAATTCCAGCTTGATTACCTTCCCGCCGTACATTGTTGACTGCCACACACACACTCTCTCTCTCTCTCTTCCATCATGGTTTATTCCGCGTCTCACGCTTTCTGTCACTCTGTCACTCTGTCACTCTGCTCTAGCACGCTGCCTGTCTCTCTTCCTAATCTCTTTTACGGTCTTACCTACTTACGCTTCCTTATCCCCTCCCCTAAAGCCTATTTACTAGCGAACAATAGTTGGGGGAAACAAAACACCCTTGCACGAACCACTTAGCTAAGTATTAGTGATTTAGCCACATAAACTGACTAAAAAAAGGTAGCCACTACTGTTAACTTATCCAATCCATCCATCCAATCCATTATTATCTATTCCCAGCTGAAATTAATTCAATTCATCATTTCCCCTCCAGCTTGTTTGCTGGCTACTACTCACTCATCTATTCCATCATTCCTTCCCCGGGCCCTTTTCTCCGTTCCCTCCCCCCTCCCCAAAAAAAAGAAGATCGGCTCCTGCATCGATCTGAATATTATCCATTTATCCACCACCACCACCACCACCACCACCACCACTAACTTACCACTTATCTTATTTTCATTCAACCTTACTCCCCACCGGTCGATACCTCGCCTGCTTCTAACATGTCACCTCAGCCTTGGTTGTGCCGGCTTAGACGCCATTGACTGGTTGTGCCTTGGCCCTTCATCGTCCTCCTCCCCCCTCTCCCCCGTGCGGAATTTTCCCTGCTCAGTTCGACGCTATCGTTACCTGTCGCGTTCGCTTCCCGACACCTCGGCCCTCCCCCCCCCCCCAACTCGATTCCATTCGCTATCAGCTCCCCTCGCGCGAATAGCACGTCTTCGATCCTCTCTCCCTCGCTCAGCATCCAAACCTCCATCCCAGCCCCCATCTTCTCCGGCCTGTCAACTCTTCTTTCCTGCATCGCTATCCTTCGATCGAGTAACATAATATCTATTCTTGATGAGTGTGCATACCGTCGCAGTTTCACACACTAGACCTTCTTCGCCTGACCATCCTCATTCACTCGCCCGATCCTGACGTCTGCCCGGTTTCTCTGTCGAGTAGTGGGGTCTGTGAGTGAGTGAGTGAGAGAGAGAGCGCAAACGCGTGCCATTAACCGCAATATGCCTACGTATCCCATCCGCCGCAGGCCTCGCGAATGTAAAACTTGCCTTCCATGTCGTGCCAGCAAAGTTCGCTGTGATCGCAATGTGCCATGCAGCAACTGTGTCAAGCGCAATTTCACCTGCTCCTACGGCCGTCCTCCTCCCTCGGCGCCTAGGCCCGGAGGATCGCTCCTCGCCGACCAATACGGCCCCGCGACCGCCTCAACAACCACCACACCTCAATTTCTCCCTCCGTCCTCCCAACTCTCGTCCGGTCGCGATGCTCCCTACGGCCCCGACCCGAAGTCCACCGGATCGACTACCCAAGACGGCCTACCGGAAGTCGTGACTTTGTCTCAAGTGGAATGGGACGAAATCAACACCAAGATGCGGACCATGGAGGAGATCCTAGGCAGTTTGGACTCCTTGTTTCAATCCCATGGGGCGCGAAGAGCCACCGAACCCCGACTGGAGGTGTTCCCAGCGGAGGATGAGGTCTCTCCCACCTCGGAGGGGATTTTTGGTTCAACTACAATGAAGACTGGCTCCGTCCATATTGGGTCGCGATCGGCATTGATCGACATCTTGGATAAGTCGAAGAACTCGGAGGATACGGCACAAGCGTTACCAAAGGAGGACCTTCTCGCGGAACTGGCCATGGGGAATGAATCCGCCGCGTATCCGTTCGTAGATCTTTGGTCGTCCGACCCTTATACATTCAACATCGCCGGCGTGTGTAGCGTGCTACCCGACGACGAACAATGCCGAAAGTAAGTCCCCGGCTCCTGTAACCCGTGTTGTGGGTTGAAATGACTGACGGGTCCGGCTACCTAGACTGTTGAGATTCTATATAGACGTTGGTTCCGTGCTTTATCCGGTGCTGCCGGATGTTGCAAGACTTGAGGACAATATGGAGCGCCTGTTGCGAGGCCGACAAGCTGTTGGTGGTGTATATCGACCGGATGCTAACGGTCTCGTTAAGCCGTTTGGCATGAGTGTATCCTTCCTGAGTCTTCTCTTTGCTGTTCTAGCCTCGGGCTGTCAATTGTCCGACTTACCAGGCAAGGAACGCGAATTGACCTCGTGGGTATATGGTTCGTACAGCCTCCATCTCTCTGCTGTGACATAACTGATCGATTATAGTATCATGTGCTTATCATTGCTTGCGCATGTTGAATTATGTATCTCAGCCGACCGTAGAAATCATCCAAATCTTGCTGGTCATCGGGAGCGTCCTCTCCTATAACATGAATGCAGGAGCCTCGTACACATTGCTTGGTGAGTGCTGTTTCTGCCGTGTCAACTGTTCGACGAAAGCTGATTGTGATTTGTAGGAATGACCGAGCGCATGTGTATGGTGCTGGGTCTGCATGTCGAGACTGCGGGTTATTCACGGGCTGTGCAAGCGGCACGGAGAAGAGTCTGGTAAGGCGTGGTTACCGATTTGCGAGACACAGACAGCAATACTCACACATGAGAATAGGTGGGCGATGGCTTTTCAGAACAGCCATTTTTCCCTGGCGTACGATCGACCCTCTATCACCATGATCAGCCAGCCCGAGATTCCGTACGATCCCAAATCCATGCCCGGTCACCGGGGTTACTTCGAGACGCTGTGCCGCATCATCTCCGTCATCCTCGAGATGTTGCGGAATCTCATGTTCACCCATCATAGCCACCTCCGGTACCATGAAATCCGGGAGTTCAAGCAACGTATTGAACGGATCCTGGCTGAGGCAGCACCACACCTGCGATTCGAAGAACGCTGTACCACGCTGGCGGAGCATATTGAAAGGACCGAGCTGCGGCTGCATTCCTCGTATTTCATATCATTCATGTGCAGAGTATCACTGGATCCGGATGCACACATGGATGAGCAGCGGCGAGAGATTATCAAGGAGGATTGCTTGACCAATCTGAGCAACACGATCCAGGCATTCATTGAACTGCATTCGATCAACGCGCATGCGTCCCGCACATGGATTAGCCTGCAACGGACGATCGCGTCAGCTTTCCTCTTGGTAGCCAACAACAATGAGCGATTGCACCCGCACACGTGGGATCTTATCCAGAGACTGGAGGCGGTTTTGTCCGACCATGTGCATGGCGATGGCGAAGCTGATCGAAACAACCGTACTGATTCGGCGAAACATCTCGCCTCATCGCTCCGTGCCCTGCGGGAAGTCAGTGCCGCATTCCGTGCACACAGCAAGAAGCAGAACATGCTATCGGTCCCGGAAACTGCAACAACCACCCCGAACCTATCTCCGGCCACAGTCTTCGCTTCCCCGTCGCCGGCAGGGCTTGCCTCTGTGGCTGTTCGTGTTCCTGTTCCTCCGACCTATAGCGCGCCGCCCCAAGATGGACATATTGACAATATTCTCAACCGGGTTTCGGATGTAATGCTTTTCCCCAACATGAGTACGGGGAACGCTTGAAATAAATGGGCCACTACGCGAGATTCACGAGAGTCTCGAGTAACCTGCAGCCAAATCTCCCCGTCGTGGGGCCATCCATTGATTCTGATCTGTCCCGTTTGGATAATCCCGTAAGTGGGCGCTCCCACGCCGTGGGAAAGCGATCGGTATGTCTGAGAATCAACCGATACTGATCATAATCGATCGGTCACAGAAGCAAGATTGATTGCTATGTGTCCATCGCGTCACTTGCCCCTGCTGTCTCACGGATCGAAGCCTTGGTGAGCATGAGCAGTGGGGATGGCATGTGTCTTCCATTCTGGCTGGAACCTGGGCAATTGCCTCGGAGAGGGTCCGCCAATTTGCGAGTAGTTAGAGGGGCGGAGGAGGAAACTAGGAGGGAGGAGCGAGCCGGACATCGGCGGGTACTTGTAGTAATTTGAAGATAGCCAGCCCCTAGTCACGAGTATTTCCGTGCGGGAGGGCGTCCGTGTGCAGTGGCTACCTTAACTTAGTGGTCCCTTCCACTTTCTCCCCCTCCCACTTCGGTTCGTGTCTGCCTCCTGGACATTTGCATTGTGTTCCATGTTGTTTGTCGGTCTATCTTACCACTTTCTTAATTTTTCTTTTTCTTTTTCTTTTCCCCCTGTCCCTTTGTTTCAAGTACGGATCCGGGATTAGGCAGGCAGTGTCTGACCGGCCGAGTATTAACCGCTTCGGCCGAACTCAGAGATCATCGCCCGATGTCTGATTCCGACCAAAAGGAATGAACGACTGCAAACTTTGGAAGGAGATGTAGCTTGCCAGGTGGAGCGAATTGGTTCTTAGAATCTCATCACCGTCTGCTGCAGGAAGAACTGGAATGCAGCCCTTCTCCCCCCTTTTTCTCCTCCCATCCCATTTTATCGAAGGGGGAATTTGTCTTGATTCATATCCTGCCAATAATTATGATAATTATTGCGACGATCAGTCCAATGAGTTAGGGCGGTGCCACGGCGGCGACGGCGGCGGCGACGGCGACGGGTTTACCGTCCGCAAGAGGCCAACCGGCCGGGGACTGAGGCATTTTACTCGTACAGCACCTACCTAGTGACTGGACGCAGCATCTCACAACAATGACGGTCGGTGGTGGTGATGAAGATGAGTACGGAGGAGTACGTGGTAGGGAATGTGTACCAACCAAGCGATGAGAAAGGGCTAGAGATGGCCCTCGCCTTTTGTCTCCATAATTAATCTTCTGAACTTCCACCTGCGGAGACATTCCCTCTTGTCTTCCACGTGCTCCAATCTCTACTGGTACTCAGTACGGAGTACTTTGTGGGAAAAAGGATGATGACTCCATTCCTACCGGCCGAAGCGGCCGCACGCCCCCCCTCGGAGACATCCGGCGATAACTCAAAGTAGTTTACCTGCGACCGAACCTTGAAGAAAAGCTAGCTAGTTCAAAACGGTCGCAACGGTCGACCAACGCTCATCCCCTCATTCCTCAATTCTACCTTAGGTACTCCGTACCTAGACTTCGGACTAGTCCATTTCTTGTTGCACGGATGTTGTACGGTGGTTATCGCCGCGGGGTTGAGTTTCTTTCTTGGTATCTTGTCTCTATACTGAGTACAGCACTATTAGAGTTGAGGAGAGGGGGGGGGGGGGGGGCAACACTCGGAGATAAGTTGTCTCTGGCCGTTGGGTGCTTTTCTCGGATCCGAAGCTGTCTGCAGTGGCTGTCTGGCCTGATCCGATCGATTGATTGAAACCTGGATCCCTTAGCCACTCGCTGGAGGCAAGATTTATTGGTAGGGTTAAAGTGTGTTGTGGAATGCAAAGGTATTTAAACTTTGGGGTTTTAAAGGGTGAGGGGCCGGCCTGGCTGGCTGGCTGGCCCTTTCTATGGGTGGAGTTTGGAACTAGTTTGCCTACTAACTTCCAAGTTGCTTGAGTATTGAGTAGGTACGGAGAACCTCACAATTATCGAATCTTGGTCTTGGCTCGGGTTCATTTGTGTCTGCATGTACCGAGTGAGACTGGGGACTTGGGGGCTCTACTTGGGGGTGGAGGGTGCAGTTGCTCGCGAGTTTTTGGGTGACTTTGCGAGAGAACTGAGTACCGTACGAGGTTGATCGTGATTCAGACCCTCAGCAAGTGAAAGTTCAAGTCGACATGCGCGTCATATGCTCTACTTCGGGGTTTGGACACACTCTCCGCTCTTGCGAGGGGTTCCCAGATCCCGGATGAAGGTTTACGAGTATCCTCTGCTGCAGGGTAGGTAGGGTAGGGTAGCTGCATCGATTGACTGGATGGATGTGTCTGCCTTTACTCGGGCACGAATTACATGGAACTGCCAGTGATTCGGTAGATGATGGATGTTCGAACGAACGGACAAGACGATCATGCCATTGTTCCCCAATCCCCAATCTCTCCCCAGACAAGGATTGAGATCCCTTCATCATTAGAGTTGGGAGGTGACGGTAAGGCTGGATTGGATAATGTGGCATGTTCTCTGATGTGGCTGCTGCAGGTGCTGCCTGGGGAGTACCTAGTAGTCAAGGGGTGGTACTGTAGCTTATCTAGTTTCTACTTGGTAAGGACTATTTAGTCGAAGGTACTAAGTCTTAACGCACGATGGCCGTTGTGGTGCGGCGCCCGTTGCGGTTGTGGTTTGCGGGTTGCGGGTTGTTTGGGACCGGCTCGGGAGTATTTACCTTGTTTTTGTTTTAACTTTTCTGGGAAAAGAAACTGCTGAGGAGGTGCTCTCGTCTCGAGGGAGGGTACACTTCTCACCCATAAATCTATGCGTATGTTCCTTGCGCTGCAGTTGCTACCCAGTACCCAGTCGCAGTTCGTTGGTCATACTGACCAAAGGGTACGCAGAAGCGAAATGTCCAGTGAGGTGGGGATCGTATCTCCTCTGATGGAGGGAAAATATGCATGCCCATAATAATAATCAGTAGTACAGCAACCTTGGACAGCATCCACCATTCCCTAACACGAAACCATCTGATAACTTAGCGCATAAAGAATCCAAGAGACCAACCAAGCCCTTGATCTGGCCATCATGGTCAATTAAGGGGGAACAAGGCTGGATGGCCTTGAATGGCTGATCAATCGAAAAGCTCGGAGACCTGGGGTAAAAGCGCCGAACAACCCAAGAAGAAACACCGTATGATCCTCGGCCTCCTCCCTCCATCTTGTGCTATACGTCTATGGTATGGTATACTACGAGCCGGTACTTCGGCCGAAGGGTTCAACCTTCGGATGCGTGAATGGGTTTGCTCGGATGCGAGGAGCATTGAGGCGATGGGTTCATCTCGGATGCGAAGGGGTTCAACTTGTTCAACCTTCTTACTTCTTCTTGGATGGAATGGTGTGCATGGGCGGTGGTGATTTGTTGGAGGATGGGATTCGGATCTATGCTGTGGTTGGCCTCGGATATACTCTGTACTTGGTGGTGGAGGGTTGAACCCCTTTGTTTCTCTTCGGCGCCGGCAGGGGTGAAGATGACGTAGGAGGGAGAGACGGAGGCAGGAATGAATGGTATCTTCTTGGCTTGCTGTAGATGGAGGTAGGGTGGGAAAGGGATTATCCTTTGGTTTAGAGCATCGAGTCAAGGGGTGGGAGGGTTGGCACTTGCATGGGGTGTTTGGGATGGCTGTGTTGGGATCTAGTATGAAGTAGCATCGGTCCATATCCTGGATGAAACCTAGAGGCTTCGAACTTGTGAAGATTACCTCGGTTATCATGTTTATTTTCTTGCTCCGACTGGACTGGCTGTGCGTGTGTAGGCAGTGGTTTGACTACCTTGTGAACGCGCCAGGATTCTTGAGCATCAAGAGGGAGAGCAGATAAGCGGCTTGCCCAGCTAGATGTTGGCCTGCTCTTTATCCGGGAGTTTGTGCTGCCTGCCTTCTCTAGCTTTGGTCCATTCTGCGAGACTTGCTGGCCACTGGGCAGGTACTCAGAGATCTATGCCTCACTCTGCAATCTGGTCGACTTGACCTCAATGGGGCCATCCATGCTCGTTGAAGTCATATATGCCAGGCTAGCATAATCAATGCGGATAAGAAGCTAGAACCAGAGACACTCCGAGCTCTCGTTGCTATGATTAACAACTGTCTCCTATCCAGGATAGAGTACCTCGCTTGCCCATTTGCAACGAGATACCCCCAGATCCGAACAGCGCCCATAATGGAAACCGAATATCTAAATGCTTCATTCTGTCATCAAGAGGCTAGCCACAGCCCCGCGAGGGTGAGCTCTGAACCGGATACCCGATCTTTGGTCCGAGGAGTTACCGCGATTTCGGAGTTGAAGGCTTTTGAGACGAAGTGGCGAGCGTGAGATCTCGATACAGGCGAGGATGGAATCGACACCAGGGTCTGAGGTGAGATGCTAGAGTTGCCTGCCTTACAGACATTTGCCAACGTCGAAGTCTGGGTCGCACAGAGGTGGCTCAGCCCGATACAGGTTTCTTGCTGTTGGACATGCCGATGAGCTTCAACTATTCACAAACAATCTTGAAATGATCTGGTGGGCCTAACCGCAACGCTACACGAGAATTCTGGACGTATTCCCCTAGTCCAACAATGAGGATGGCTGCCTGAGGGTGCAAAGTGTGGGATAGCCGAGAGTCACCTGCTTGCTCGCTTACTTCCTTTCCTACCACCTTCAGCTTGACTACATTCTCTTCGTCACACATTGGGACGCCTCTGGAGGACTTACTGTCGCACTCTGTGCGCGATATTCTGGGTCCAGCTCTCTTTCACAATTCATTCTCCGCCTTAGTGATAATTGCTTGGGTTGCCTAAATTGGTTGTCGCTTATAGGCTGGAGATAACTACCCCTCATCCCTGCTACTCAGATTCAGAGACGCTACACCTGTCACCTCGCTTAGATCTGCTACCATGGTGAGCAACTATTCTGTCATACATTCCGAGATGGTACTGGGTCGATTTTCGTTTGGTGCTAATGCATGGTGCTAAGTATATGAACTTGACGATACCACAGCTGCATCGCATCAGAAGAGAGATGAACGGCCTAGTCGGAAGGTCCAGCGATCACAGTCTGTATCGAAAACTGGCATACTATGCAATTCCACCTAGCCTCGAGGTGTTGTTGAAAGAGGTCTATCATGTACTTCATAACAATGCCCACGCTGTCGAACGATTAAATTCCAAAACTTCATCGATGCCAAGACTCAATGCTTCCATTGCTCTGCAGCGTGGATCTGTCATATACCTGCGTATCCTCTGGCTCTCCTTGAAGTCATCCAGAAACTGCCTACCCCGCAGGGTCTATCAACGCGGGACGCGATAAACCCCATTCTTGACGACTGACTCGGATTCGCTGGAGATAATCGCAAACCCTTCCGATCTCATCCTCATATACAGGGCACGGTCGCGCCAAGTTTCTGTCAAGCCCAACCAAATTGAGGCATATCACGACGGCCTCGATGTATGGCCTTCGGGACTCAAGTTATATCCTTGTATCTACTGATAGCATATGCATCATTTACACCACCGCCTGTACCTTCTGGTTCAGGAAAGTCCAACAGCAAGCTGACGCGATGTACCCGACGGGCTTGTGGTCCCAACAATAGGAGAGTGACGAGAATGGCCAACAATACTCTCCGATATCAGCTCAGATAATACTGCTCCTGGTGAGATGGTAGCCTAGCTAGTTCCGAACAGCGCGAATGTGACAAATATAAAACCATAACGCTGGCATTGTATCTCGTCTCACAACTGTCAGTGCTTCCTGCATCGTTGGACAACATGAGGTTGACGATTTCCGTGGCAGCAATTGCCTCATGGCTCCTTCTGTCATGCTTGATTGGGGATGTTCTAGCTCATCCGAAACCCGATCCCAAGACCGCATGGGTGCGTCAAGGTCGTGGGAGGAAGAGTTCCCCGCGTAACCTGCAAGCCCGTTCGTCTATGTCCTCGTCCTCTTGCGTCGACAAGAACGCAACTGTGATCAAAGCGCCGAGGCATAATGTTTGGGAAGGGTTGACGGACGATGAGACAGCATCCGTGGTCAAGTGGCTTTTCCAGCAAACAGCTCTAAACCTGACTGTCACGGAGAATGCCGGAGAGTGGGATAACACAATGCAAGCCCTATCTTTCTGATCACTGCTCGGTTGCTAACAGGACCAGTGAGCTCGTCGAGCTGATGCGGCCTAACAAGACGGATGTCTTGAGATATCTCGATCACCATGGCCCAGCACCCAGCCGTTATGCGCATGTCGTCCTTGACAACCGCGCCACTACTGCTCCTCATTATGCTGATCTTCTGGTCGGGCCTCTACCCATCACCAATCAATCCATCCCTACGTGGGCGCCACTAGAGTATCCTTACACGCGCAAGACTCACGGCCGTGTGCGCAATCTCGACGCTGACTATAGCACCATCTACTCTGAGTGGTTGTATAAGATTAGTGCATCCATTGCAGATATCACCCTAGACCTGTTCAATGGGACTGCATTGGGCTTAGACAACGACACCCTTGACGTATGGGGCATTGACCCCCTCTGGCAGGATGAC